CCGAAACTTGTACTCCTGTAATCGGAATGACTTCCCGTTCTAGAAGTTTCAGCAAAATGGATCAAGCCTGGGATGGATGAGAAAATGAAATGAAAATGGCAGGAAAGAACTAAAAAAGAAGGAAGGAAAACATCAAAAAATTTAATGAGATAGCTTTGAACGGAACTAATATTTTTTGAATCAGATTGATCTCAGCTGTTCGAATATTTAGATTAAATTTGTAAATTTTGAAAATTAAAGACATAAATTGTCCTGTAAACAACTTTGTCGGCATGTAAAAGGTCAAATTCGAAATTTTGAAATTTTCAAACACCAAATATTCGACCTTGATCCCACGCTATCCTGAAATGTATTAATTTCAGAAATAGGAGACGCACTGAACATATCACAGCCTATTGTGTTTATTTTTCACGTCTGTTAAAGTAGATTTTTCACTGTTCTTCAATCTTCATATTCAATTCAAAATGGAGACCATCAGTTGACCGAAATCAAAATTCTGCTCTGAACGTTTTTTAGGCATTCCTTCAAGGATTCAGAAAATTTAACTCCCATATCTCAAGATGGTGGCACTTCCGGTTCGATCGATAGACTTCATATTTTGTGTACACATCAGTAATTTCTTATCTAGTATAGAAAACAATTTCCAAGGCAACCTATTTTTGGTGATTTTTTTGAAAAATTTGATCCTTAATTTCTCCAAGGGGAGATAACTTAGAAAATTTCTAATGACTTCGTTGAAATTGGATCAACCAGGTCTACTTACATTCCTAATTTTATGAAAATCGTACCAATATTCAAGAAGTTATCATGTTGGTTTTACTTCCGGAATGAACTGTCAATGACATAATATTCGAATTTGGAAAACCAGAAATAGCAGATTTAAAGTAAATGTTTTAAGGTACTCAAAGAAAAAAGAATTAGTAAAATAGATTACAAAATCACAAAGTTACAGCTGTATAAGTCAATTTTTTGATCAGTAAATTTCGGTGATTTCGGATTCGTAAAACGTTTGAAAATATATTGATTTCAAAGCCACCACCCATTCTTGGGAGGAGGCTAACCAGAAATGTATTAATTTCGGAAATAGGAGACATATTCATGAAATGCCGGCCGATTTCGATTATTTTCAAGCCGTTAATGGGAATTTTTCACTCCTAAACAACTTTGTCGACACGAAAAACTACAAGGGTGAAATTCCAATTTTTGAAATATTTAAATACCAAACATTCGACCATGAGCCAGGCTATCCTGAAATGTATTTTAATTTTCAGAAATAGGAGATGCATTGAACATACAACGGCCTATTGTGTTTATTTACAAGTCCGTCGTTAATGTAGATTTTTCACTTCAAAATGGTGACCATCAGTTGACCAAATCAAAATTCTGCTCTGAACATTTTTCAGGCATTCCTTCAAGGATTCAGAAAATGTAACTCCCATGTCTGTAAGTATAATATCGCAAAAGCATAAGGGATTTTTCACGTTTCAAGATGGTGGCACTTCTGGTTCTATCGATAGACTTCATATTTTGTGTACGCATCAGGAATTCCTCAGCTAGTAGAGAAAAAAAATTTCAAGGCAATTTGACCCAGTGATGGGATTTTGCCCGTATATTCCGGACATGTCCGACACTATTTTCCAAACGTCCTAAATTGTCCGACCAGGAATATACCGAATCGGACATCAAGACATGGTAAATAATATTCAAAATTCCAAAATTAATATAGTGTACTAAGTGTATAACTACAACTCAACCTGATTATTGTTGATAATACGCTGGATTGATTAGGTAATTAAGTGATCAACATATTTATCGTTTTATATCGTCTATACACCTACCTTGATTAACTACTTAATCTGCCTTGATTGGCTGACTTAATTCTTTTTCGGACAATTCATCAATTCAATCCTGAACAGAAGTCATTGCTTCTCCTTTGTCGGACTATATAGTATATATCAATCCAATAAACTTAATCTACGTGATTGACCCGTGATTTCTCCATTGTCTCACGTTTTAATCTCCTTGATGTCATCTGTAGACATTAGTCATACATGTCACATATCCTAATAGTATATAACACCCAAAATCAATATACATTGTGTCCGATAACTGTTCTGTGATATTTCTTCAGTGGAAGTCGAAGTTAAATAAAGCTATTTCACACACACGCAAAATGAAAGCAGAAATCTCGCGAGACACATGGAATTAAGAGGTGTAAATACTATAAACGTGCCGAATCTAATACGTCTGATGTCGGGAGAAAAGATTCAATTTTGATAGCATATTGTCGGATTTATGATCATATTTTGAATGGGGTTTATGTTTTTAAAAAAATAAATAAACACGCTAAGAAATGTTGACGAATCTTTCAATTGAAATAACGTAAGTAGTTACGGTAATTGTTATAATCGATAGCGCATGCTTAGAGTCGAATGGGATTTTTTAGCAGTTGGTGTCACTCGCTCGTTGTATTAGAGCGACGTTTACTGCGGTTTACGGTCAAATAAATTTCGGGATGTCATTTTTTATATCTTCCGTATATAAATCGAAACAGAGTATAAGATGAATGCCGGACTTTGCTGAAAAATGTATCGACTTATGACCCTAAAAATACGGTAATTTTGGGGGAATTTGAAACCGGTACGGATGGGCAGTAGTCGGCACGCTTTCATTCTATGGTATTACGATGTCATGTAATTAATATAGTATAATATATACTATTTTATAGTTATAATATATATTATTTTATAGTTATAATATATATTATTTTATAGTTATAATATAATTTATATTATTATTTTATAGTTATAATATAATATATATTATTTTGTAGTTATAATATATATTATTTTATAGTTAAATATATAATATACATGTATACTATTTTACATTTCTGGTTAACAAGGTAATGGTCAGGGAACATTGGCATTTGATATTCACTACTGAAACACAGTTGCAACTACTATAATCATGCAAGAGATGATTCATGGATGGCACTTTCAAGGCTGTTAGGAAACCCTTTATACAAATATGATCTCTGGCAATCTCTAACATAAAAAAAAGAACAAACATGAATATTGTAAAACTAGCAGGCAATCTGTAACGTGAAAAAATGAACAAATATGTGCTATAATTGTGCTATGATTGTTAGTGTTATTTCAATATAATAAAATAAATTCAAATGATACTCTTTTTTTAATTTATGGGACGAAACAACCCTATTATTAGGGTGATGAAACGACCCATGTAAATTTGGGATTAAACAGGCAGGGGTGAAACGGTTTTGGATGAAAAGACTTGCTCTCGTTTATAATAGACATATAGTAAATGCAAAAGAACAGCACCAAATTGGCAAATACAATCCGATTACATGTCATTTGGGACTCACGTCATTTGGGACTCGCGTCATTTGGGACTCAAAAAAATATGACCACGACATTTGGGACTCGGGTATACAACGTTTGGGACTTTGGTATACGTCGTTTGGGACTCGGGTATACGACGTTTGGGACTCGGGATAATTTATTAGAAATAGGCCAATTCAAAACACGAAAGAAAATATTTATTAACATGAAACACGTGGTTAGTAAAAGGCTCAACCAAACGATAAATCATTAGTTGCACTTATGGTTCTTTGATAATCATCGTTTCTCATAAAAGTTATATATTTAAAACGAATAATATGTTGATGAATTTATTTGAAAATGACCTACACAAAAAATAAAATAAATATTTACACGACATGCAATCTTTTTTACAAGCTCCTAGAAATTGTTAACAATAATCCGTGAGCTGCACGTTGACATGCTTGTCGTAGATGGCAATACCAATCGATAAATTAGTACGTACAGGGAAAAGTTTTTTTTGTGGAAAATATAAGAAATGGCAACGATCAAAGCGGGATAATTAAAGCTGATTAACTGATAATCCGATGTTATTGCAGTATGTTCAAAGAAACCTAACGGTTCTTTGGTGGATGAGGAAAAACGTGAGTTATCAATCATCGAGAATGGCGGCCGTGTGTTGATTGCAGTTATACCGTTTCACGAAAAAACATTCGCAGTGGTCGGTCAATCAAGCTCGTTTAATATTTGATAAAAGAAAAACAACGAAGTATTACTAAATATACACAAATTTTCAACAATATATTATTGTCAAGTTTTATACTCGCAGATAAAACAAAACAAAGGAGAACTAGCAGTGTTAATCGCGGTCTCAACAATTGCCGATCAACTAAATAAAACGAAAGACAACTACATGTAAGACAGCTGTTACTATATATCTCATAAATAAATAGTCCCAACTGTCATTTATATTGAGTCCCAAATGTTGTTTGTGTTGAGTCCCAATTGACGCCAATCAAGTCCCAAACGTCGTCAACTGAGTCCCAAATGTCGTTTATGTTGAGTCCCAAATGACGTGCGTCCCAAATGACATGATACCTACAATCCACGGTACTGCATCGTACATGTAGGCTACAAATAACTAAAAATGAAACAACTTCTAATGTTCAATCAAACTATTCTTGTTTTCAAAATTTCCAATTTGGAAACATGTTCCAGGACACTTCATGTAACTCTTGTAATCTATTGTAGGCTTGTTTTTCCAACCACTGAATAATGACACTCACTCTCAGCAAGCATGCCTACAGGCTACAGTTCCGTACTATAAATTATAAATATAATCACCCTTTGATCGTTACCACACATGATATGTATGTAGTTGTTTATAAGTGTTTTATTAGCTGAACAAAGTCACTTAACACAGAGAATGTCTTTAAATATTGCTTATGTTTTTAAAAAAAGTGGGAAGCCAAGAATTATGAAAACAGGATGCCACACCCCCTTTCTTTATTCTTACCCCCGATTTCCTTTCGTTGGATGAAGATTTCTTTCAAACAAAATTCAAAGACTTCAACATCTCTGACGACAGAGTTTACATATGGAATTAATTTTTTTTCAATAACTCCAAAATAAATAATGTATATAGCAATCACAAACCTTTCTTGGCCAAGTGTGTCAGTTTCTAGGAAAGCCATCTCAACTAACTTTACGTCTGTTCTTTGCCAAAATTCCACCCGATCTTAGAAAATGAACTGAGTTATTTCCCTTATGGGTCTTGTGACAGGAGTAGTTATTAAAACGTAGGAGTATCAGAATGAATTGTTTCATTTATGTATCATATTGCATTCAAAGAATTGATTAAAAAATATATAATTTTTGTTTAAAGTGTTTTTTCTGCGCCTTATTTGGGAGATATTTATTTGTTTTTTTGTTTTTTGCTCAAGTATGTAGAATTACAATAACTGGTCTTCCAATGCCCTTGACACTTACCAAAATGGCTGCTAAACACAAGTATTCTGTTCTTTTGCCTACTTATAATGAACGAGAAAATCTACCTATTATTGTATGGTTGTTAGTTAAATATTTTTCAGAAGGGTAAGTTGATATTATAGTTATTTTGTCCAATGTTAACACTGATGCCAGTTCAGTGTCATTGTGTAAAACGTTTTATATGTGTAAAAAAAAAAATATTCTACGAGTACCGTAGTAGCTTAGTACGTGTGGTCTGTGGATCTTCAGTAAGTTCAATCAGTGGATGCTGAATGTGACTGGTTGCATCATCTCTACCCAAAGCTAAGAATATTATTAGAAAATCCAAAACTTATATGGAAATATTATATTGTCGATACAGTATCCAGATGTCTGATAATAAAATACATTTTATTCTGACATATTTATCAAGTTTACTTGTTACTAGTAGTAGAAGTTTAAAGTTACTCTTTGATATTCTGACGCGGTAACATCCGTCCCGAAGGCAAACAGTCAAAAGCTTGTTGCAAAAGTTGATAACTAGTTTACTTCTTTCAGCCGACGGCAAAATCCACAATTTTCCATTATCTGTGATGCTAACACATTAAACTTACATATCATATCCATCCATTATCCTTTTTGCTGTCTATTTTAAGATATTTCACAAAAATCTTCCCCAATAACCAATAACACACAGTGAAACAGGAAATGACCTACATTGGCAAAAGTTGAAATCTGGCAAGGTGCTCATTACAAACGGAATTCTTTAAAGGAAGTGATCATTTTAAATTTATTTTTTGTGATGGTCTGATTCGTCATTTCGGTCCCACGTCATTTCGGACTCAACACAGACGACCTTTCGGACTCAGTTTGATGACGGTACAGACTTACTTGACGACTTTTCGGACTCAGTCTGGCAACGTTTCAGACTCAGATGAATAATTAAAAGACTGTTGAAAATTTGTGTGATATATTTGTAACCGCTGGTTTTTTTTTTCGATTTATGTGAGTCCGATAGTTGTTTTGTTTTATTTAATTGATCGGCTATTCTTGAGACTGCTAATAAAAAGATAACACTCATTTTACACTGCTTGTTCTATTTTGTTTTGTTTCATCGGCGAGTATTGAACTTGACAATAAAATATTGTTGAAAATTTGTGTATATTTTGTAATACTGCTAATGTTTTTATAATTCTGAAAGCCTAAATTCTTTTATGCGAGTCAATAATTGAATCAACACCCGCCCACAATCATCGCCGATTGACAACCCAGATTTTTCCTTGGCCACTAAAGAACTGTAAGGTTTCTTTGCGCATACTACAATAACATAGGGATTATCAGTTAATCAGCTTTAATTATCCCACTTTGATCGTTGCCATTTCTAATATTTTCTAAAAAGAGTTTTCTTTGTACGCACTAATTAATCGATTGGACTGCTATTCCCAAGTCCGAAACGTCACACCTACAAGAGTCCGAAATGTCACCTGCCCGAGTCCGAAACGTCAAGGCCATACTTTTTGAGTCCGTAATGTCGTAAGTCCGAAATGGCGCAAAACCGGTAGCCTGATTGGCCGATGAGTGACCTATCAGAAGAAATTTTACCGATATTTGTGAAGCCGATATATGTTCAAAAAGACTCAGCAGCCAAATGCCTTTCATAAAATATTATTCAAATTGTGAACAAATCATTCTATGTTACCTAAAATGGCACCCGGCACTTTTATTTTAGTTGATGTGTGTGCGATACAAGACTCAATGGTTAGATATTTTCAAATCTATAAAATAGAAAAGGCGAAATAATGTCACGTGACAATGACAAAGACAGAAGCTATTATAATCAACCGTTAGGATTAAACATTTTACGGATGCCGACAAATTGAGGGATTTATATTGTAATCAACATTTAATAACTAATAATCTCGATTATACACATACAGCCTATGCTAGAAATTAACCATGGCATATCCGGCAAAACTGTTGTAAAAGCTGAAGCAAACACAGACTGCTACGGTAATAAAAATAGCCAAAATTGCGCAGATGTTGTCCGTGTGTACACGTGTCAAAAATGTATGCCTTTTATATATATATATATATATATATATATGCATGTAGATGGTAGTGATGACACGTGAATGCATAGGTCATTACTTTTCAATATCATACAGTCGTTGAGGGGTAGTTGGGCCTGGAATTAGGTCAATAATTCAGCGATGCAAGATTTAGTTGTAAATAGTTTCAAATTATAATTTAGTATTTCATGCTCACTTCTAAAATAGTGCCCTTATTGAAGAAGGCTATGGCACAGCCATGGGAAATTTTATGAATCAATTTTAGTTATGGTTGACATGTGATTGCAACTGCTGGGAAAACAAATAACAAAAAGATCGAAAGGAAAACAAATTTCAATGACTTTATTACTCCAACAATACTCTGTAAATTTTATATTTATGACAGTACCACAATTAGAACCAGATTAATTGACACAGAATATAATTGTACGAGCCGTTTGTCCATCTACGAATATAAAAACTGCACGTTCCGTGGTGAAAAATGACAACAAAATGTGTTGAATATGAAGAAATGCAGTGGTGTCTTGTCAGCTAATTTTAGCTAAGGCATTTTTAAATTTTTGTTGCCGTTGTAGAAGAATCCTAATTTCAAGCATGTGTCATGATCTAGGCCTACTAATTACTCATAATTATTAAGGTCTCAATAGATGTGTATTTTCAACTCTGTGTGAAGAGCGACCTAATTATTCCTTCATTAAGTATCATTGTCTTTGATTCCCGATATAAAATTTCTACAAACACAGTATATACGCAATCCATAGAAATATTGTACAAAAATGAACCTCGTTTCGCGTAAAACAAGTGTCCTCAAATTTTAATGAGGAGGATATGACGTCATAAGGAGGTCAAACTAACTATCCCAACAAGGCCACTGAAAGAAATGTTAGTGAATGTGATATTGGATAAACCTGTTTCACTGAACAACTTTTGCTTGTCAGTAAGTGTTATTGTTGTTTAACGATGGCTCACACAATAAAGTAGGACATGCATTTAGAATTTATCGACAGACGTCTTTCAGCTCGTGGCTATTTGATTCGCCAACAATTCAGTCGAAATCAGCATGAACTAAACATGGCTTGAGGAATCTTGAGGTTATGTGTGAACGAAACCTCAAGACACTCTGGAGTAACTTAGTAACTAACTTAGTGCCAGACTGCTAGTGAGCTTTTACTTAAGCTTATTCTTTGCTAATGAAAACACAACTAAGATGCAGTTAGGATTTACTTACCCGTATTAGATTGACACTCCAGTCGAAATGCTAAAACTAGGTTTAGCTTTTTATGATAGGGATTTGCCAGGTTTGACACAAGAGAAGCTGAAGACATTTCACCAGTACTGTGGTCATAATTTGAAATGGCTCCATATTTTGACCAAACATATCAAAATTTCATCTTTTAACTTGTTTGTTTCAGTAATATAGATTATGAGATAATCATCATCGATGATGGCTCTCCAGATGGGACACTGGAAGTAGCAAAACAGCTACAAAAAATATATGGTGAAAAGAGAATAGTATGTATTATCACGACAGTTATTCTGTAACCTTTCTGTTTTTTAATAAGAGAAAAATATCCTGATACAGTTTAAATATTGTATTTTTTAGATTGCATTTTGTTCCTTTACACCATAAGTGTATGATATGAAATCCTAATCATCCGCTGTTTCATACAATGTTCTAGTTTGATAAATTGTCTGGGGTGGTGGTGGGGGGGGGGGGGGAGGGTGCAGTTACACTGTTTCCATTATATTGCAATATGTAGCACTACCTTGCTACACATCTTTTGTTTTAGCCTTATCGTCTAATGGTTTGACTGTCATTTATACTGTTTTAACTATCTAACCTTACTCTTGGACTTCACATCATTAGTTTAATTACCGCTACCCAAATTAGATGTATTCTGTAGTTGTTTATATTAAAACATTAGACAACAGTTTACACAACATACAATTTTATCGAAGCAGGCTACACAATTTTAAGCAATAGTCTACATACTTCAAAATAGCATGTCCTTCATTCTCAACCCTACTCTTGCAAAGTCTGGCCAGGTGTGGCTAGGCTTCTGGAAAACACTACATGATTGGTTCTCTCAGAATTCAAATGGTCATCTAATTTGTTGAGCCCAAGTCTTGCTCTTTTATTTTCCCTGATTTCTGCTATTAATTAGGTGTTTAGTTAATTACGTCTAATGATGTAAGTAATAGCCAAATATGGACATTGGCCATGACAGAAAATCTGGTAAATTTCCATTTAAATTAAACAAAAACCATTTCAAACATAAACAAATATGATGTGATATGACTAACCGAAATAGATGAAATAGATGAAATACCAGTCAGTATCTCTATTTTGCCGTATAGGTCATTCATTTCCGTTGTAGTACATGACTTCTTACTTATTTATGAATTCGGAACCAATATTAGGTTGAGACCATGGTATTGTTACAAATAATAGCTTCTATTTAAGCTTTGATTTCAAATTGAACTTCCGATAAAAACTTTGATCTAAAATTACTTATTGTCCCCCGCCTTTCAAAGAAAGCAGGGGACTATTAAAATGGGTTCGTCTGTCTGTCTGTCCGTCACACTTTTTGGGACACAATAACTCTCTTTCTAATTGAGCTAGAATGTTCAAACTTGGTGTATGTGTTTAATAGGCCAATGCCTTGATGGAGTTCAAAGATGGGCATTTTCTGCTTAGGGTAAGCAGAGATAAGCAATTTGATTGGTTGATGTTTTGGGACATGATAACTTTAGTTCTAATTAAGTGAGAGTGATGAAACTTGGTGTGTAGTTTCATTACATCAATACCTTGACTAATTTCGATAATGAGCATTTTCTGCTCATTAATCGATGCTTTAGGACAAGATAATCTTAATTCTATCTGATAGAGGGTGAAGAAACTTAGTGTATAGTTTGATTGCTCAATACTTTTGAAAAAAGTAAATGTGCGATTAATTAATATGTGTCATCTATTTATTTTGGGATTTCGGCGGGGGACATCAGTCTCACTGTTGGCTTGTATTTATATTATTTCAGGTTCTTCGACCGAGAGAAAAGAAACTTGGCTTAGGTATGTAAACACTTGAATAGATCTGTAAAGAAACATAGGCTTACATGTGCTAGATTTACAAGTATAGGCATTTCTGAAAATGGTGACCTATTTCACTCACTCTTGATTTCAGGCTCTACAAAAAAATATCAATATTAATGTATCATTATATCTTGTTACCTTGCCAAAAGATATCAATTAAAGAGCTAGTGCAAAATTAAACAAAAAACATGCAACTACCACATTTGAACGTGTTATATTGAGACATAAACAGCTCAAAACCGACATCTCTTCTCTCAAAGGATAACATTCGATTGTGAGAAAAAAAACCCAACCCTATGAAGGACATAACTCCTAAAGTAAGTATCCGAGTATTGATGTATATGTATGTTTCAGTTAATTCAGTAACCTTATCTGTATTGTATTTCTGTTTTTAAGGAACGGCATATATACATGGAGTTAAACACGCTACAGGAGATTTTGTACTGATAATGGATGCTGATATGTCACATCATGTATGTATTATTAACAAAACTTGTCTTCCACTTTAATCATGCCTATTTACTTTTATATAATTTAAAAGAAATTTAGGTGCACGTTACACAATTTGTATATAACATACGTAAGACAGTTAAATTTAACATGCAAAGAAATTGTGCTGAATATATGGAATTGCAAATACTTCATAGATTGGTCATTCCATATTAACTGGACCAATGGTGGGAACATGACCCCCTCCCAAAAAATTATAAAAAATATGTTATAGTATATCAAACTTTTCAGAATTTTAACCTCTGTCCCACATGACCAAAATTGAAGGTGAAAATGGGTATATTTTGTCTGTTCTCAATGTGCATTGAATTTCGAGATTGGATATTTGGAAAAGTATATATCCCATCGACTCAGAATCTTTTGTAAATTGATATAAGACAAACTGACATTAACTATGCCAATTTTGGAGTTTGTGTATACAATAGTGACTTTCCCAGAGGCTGTTGAAATCCTGAAAATAAAAGTGATTAGTTCATTTGTTCCACATTTTGCCACCTGCTGGCACAAAAAGTATGCATTGGACAATGAGTGTGATGCTAAATTCGTTATCTACACCAAAAGTTGTCTTAGATTACAAAGTTAGAGAGTTCTACTCCTGTTGTTAGAAATGTGAGTTTAAAGCACCCGAAAACCTGAAAAACATTACCGAATTTATGATCTGTTTCGTACCCTAATTTCAAATGGCCATATCTCAGTGAGTTTTCAACCTACAGAGGTAACATTTCGTATTTTTTTTTAGCTTAAGGCCACATTCTATAACATATATTTTTTATAATTTTTTTTGAGGGGGTCAGGTTCCCAACTTTCTGAAATAGATTCCATGTAAGTTTATCTATTTTACATTTTTCAGCCAAAATTCATTCCACAATTCATTGAGTAAGTTACTTTATAATTATTGCATAATGCAAAACCTGTATATAAATTGATCATAACACCTATTCTCACCTAATAGACCCCGTGCTCTGCATTTACTGTCGTATGGTTACTGAGCAATAAAATGTTTTTGCTCTATTGAATTTTTGTATTATTTTGAAATAGAATAACATTTACTAGTTATTCAAACTAATAAAACTCACACGTATTTAAATTTTCTGAAAAAAAAGAAATATTTATTTGCGTAAATTATTTCCCAAAATGACTGTTGCTTTTTGAAATTGTTTTCAGATGGCTTTGATAAATAAAAAAAATACTGAAATTACGGAGTTGTTTTTACTAGCTATACAGCATATAGTGTTGTTTAGGTAATGGGTAAGTTTCCTGTGCGCAGAAGTTGATAATTAAAACGTACATAAGACTTATTTAATGTCACGCAACTAAAGGTAATCTACGTTACCTATACATAAGAGTATCTAGGATTAACAAAATAACACATTGATTATTCTTAAACAATGTTAAACAGCAGAATTAAAGTTATATTCGCATATGATAAGGTTATCATTACACCCATTGGACATATGGCCGTACAGTCTAACTTAGTAAGGGTTGGCTAAAAATGTTGTGTTAAAAGTGTAAGGTACGTTACCATCATAACACATTTACAAGTGTTGTGTCGAATACAAATGCCACTTTGATTAGTTGCGTTAACCCAACAGTCATGATTACATATAAAATTTATATTCCTCTATAGCCAGCCAGGTATTCTTGGAAACGTGACAAAAGCGAAATCGGTAATCTACGTTATGTAAGCTATGTTACATAACATTTATGTTATTCGACGTTATTCGCATCTACGTTCCATTTTGTTCACGCAAAGTGATCTCCTCTTTCGACTGTACGCTTTGAAGGTTAAATCGTCCTAGACGCTATACTAATTTATTTTTCAACGAGGAGAACTTATCTATATTTGACGTTATTCGCATCTACTTTACATTTTGTTCACGCAAAATGATCTCCCCTTTCGACTTTACGCTTTGAAGGTTAAATCGTTCTAGACGCTATACTAACCTTTTTTTTTCAACGAGGAGAACTTATCTATATTAACCGTTATTTCTGTAATTTTCAAGGTAAGATATTTCAATTTTTGATTTTAAAAACTATTTTATTTCAATTGGCTGTCTTAAGCTTTGTGCTGTGTAGGCCTATTTTACAATGTTTTTAGATTTTCAATGTTTGTGATTTTCAATAGCTGATGCCCAGTAAAAGTTTTTCGCAATAAGTTTATTCTAAATTAAATAGATATGTCATGAAATTTGACGCTCACCTTTGAAAGTAAAACAGTAAATAATATGTTATTATGATGTCCACCGCGGGATTGGTAACGTAAATTACATTTCATTATTATTGTGATTGGATTTAATTTTTATTTCTATATAAAAACCTTTATTCAGTGTATGTTTCAGTGTTACATGATCAGTTATTGGTTTTATTTAGGGTGTATATACTTTTATTTTATCTAAAAGCCAATTAAGTTGAGTGTAACGTAAATTACATATACAGTAATATAGATTACAGCGTTCAAATCATCTGATTATACTCTTTATATCTTTTCAGAATATTAATTATTGATGGGTAAAACACGAGCAGAGATCCAAAGAAACTACAGAGAAAGCAAGAAGGCCAAAGAAGGTGAAATATATTTAGCCAAAGAACTACAAAGGACAAAGAGTATTATGTTCCTGTTTGCGTAATGCCAATAAAAGATTTAAAGAAGAGGCACGAAAAAGTACGAAAATGGGTGAGAGAGCACAGAATGAAGAAAAGATTAGAAGAAAGTATTTTAAGTGAAATAAGTACATCTGATTTTGGTTCTGAATACGACTCTAGCACAGCTGCAAATCATCTGAAACAAATAGATAGAATCAAGAAAAAATATAAAACAGTATCAAAAAAGTATGAAAGATTAAATAACAAAGTTAAAAAGGATTCTACTACGACTTCCAAGAGTCATATCCAGCAACCAATAACACCCATAAATTGTCCAGGGTAGTAAGAGATAGGCTGCTATTATCAAATGTTTTATGCGAAGAACTAAGAGAAGCAAGAGTAGTAAATGGAACTAAAGGGAAAAGGGTGATAAGAAAGATAATTTCAGGCAAACTTATTATTGATAAATATAGACTGAGACGAAAACTAAATAAAACCACAGGATTTTGTGAAAGGGGTTGAAATCACACGGAAAAGAAATTAAAACAATTCCTAAAATAAGTAAATTAGTAGAAAAACGAATAAAAATTGCAAGAGGATACTCAGGACTTCTTAGAGAGGGATGATAACAGCAGGATGCTGCCGGGCAAAGCTAATAAAGCCAAGATACAAACCGAAACCTACCAACAGAAAAGAATATGGAATGATAGCATGTTATTTCTTCATCTTAAGTTTACAAATTGTCATTTGCAACGTTTTGTAGACTAAGGCCTAAACATATCACTCTTACAAAATACCTAACAAAAAAACCAATGCCTTTGTCAAAAACATCAGAACTATGCCTTATGTTTAAAAAGTTTACGTTCTGTTGGCATTAATGTTCCCTTAAATCCAGATGAGCTCATTCGACAAATCAATACGATTAACCCACAAGAACTGATAAATGGAAAAACTGCAGAAAACATGAAATATGAACAATGGAAAAAGGTAGAAATAGGTGATAAAAAGAAAACCAAAATACTTGAAATTAAAAGCCTGAAAGAAAACCCTCCCGATGGTCATGCTCTTGTCCAGATGGATTTTGCAGAGAAGTTTACCTGCTCTTGTAATGACGAAGTACAGAGTGCTTATTGGAATAGCACAGCCGTTACTCTTCACCCGGTTGTCATATACTTCATGAAAGACGATACCTTATGCCACAAGAATTACGTTTTCGTATCTGATGACCTTGGCCACAATATAGGCATGATTTATACCATTTTTAAGTCACTCATCGCAGACATAAAAAAATGGTTGCCAAACATTTCATTTATTCATTATTGGACCGACAGTCCAAGTTCTAAATATAGAAATAAGACAGCATTTTACTTGATATCAAAACACAAAGATCTTTTTGATTTTTCGTGCATATGGAATTATTTTGAATCTGGGCATGGAAAGTGTCCATGAGATGGCATTGGCGGAACCGCTAAGCGAATGGCAGATCTTGCCATCAGACAAGGCAAAGTTACAATTCAAGGTGCCACAGACTTTTATCTTTGGGGTGAGAAATACCACAATAGTGCGTTTTATATATTTGTACCTTTAGATGATTGCATAAACTCGCGTTCCGAAATAATTGAAATGAATAAAAGTATTATTCCTGTCAAAGGCACTATGTCATTTGATTGGATTAGTGCTGTCACAGTTGGAAAAATATGCACTCAATCACTTCTTGCTCCTGTTCACTTTGTATTATTGGGAAATTTCACGATTTCTCTGTATCTTGTTTTACACGAAAGATCAAGAAGACAACGCATCTGAAATAAATCTAGAAGGTGTTGTACAGGATACCACAAATGTTGTACAGGGTATGCCAAATGTTGTACAAAGTACCACAAATGTTGTACAGAGTACCACAGTTTTATCTGAAACATTTACATTTACCTCGGGTATGTGGGTTGCTGTCATTTATGAAAATGAAATCCACTTGGGTAGCATAAAAGAAGTGGACCCTGAAGAAAACGATTGCTTAATATTGTTTATGAGAAGATGTTCAGCTCTGGATGTCCACAAACCACCTTTCAAGTGGCCATCGACTGTTGACGAAATATGGGTTGACTTTGCTAATATTTTACTTATTGTGGATGAACTGATTCCAATTGGTAAAACTAGTCGAAATTTCCATTTAAATGATAAAAATTCTAAAGAGTCCTTAAAATTGAAAGATTAATTTCAGTTAAAACAAATAATGTTTGTTGTTACATTTTTTATTGAATTTAGTAATTTACGTAACATTATTAAAATCTCTAAAAATCAACATGTTGCAATTAAATTTGTATTAATTTAATTTGATAAGTCTGTCCATTCATTATATGAATTAGTAGTTTGTTTATGTTCACATTTTTGGAACGTTTTATCTCTACGTAATATACGTTACACTTTGGTGAAATTTACGTTACCATCTGTATAAGTTTCCCTGACGAATCTGAAGAGAATATTGGTCTTTTTAGTATTGAAAGAATATACCACGGGTAGTTTAAATCAATATTAAATTGTTATGCCGCTACACAGTATAATGTTTGTGTAATATAATGTTTTCAATTTATTGCTGAAAATTCCATGTTGTGCTCCTGTGTATTATGAATAAAATATTTGTAAACCAAAATGTTTTTAGAATTACTTAGAATATTTCAGAGGTTTAAAACGTATCTGATGCTTGAAATAAAAGAGTGACAAAGGCGATTATTAAGAATAAATCTTTCAAAATATTGATCATATTAAGCTATTATTAGTAACGTAGCTTACCCCAGACGATTTTGAGAATAATGTTTGAAAACTCATATCTTAATATGTGTCCCAGTTTTGAGAATTCACAGTTTTAAACAGTAAATATTCCTTCGTACATAAAACTCATTAAAAACAAATATTTCTCAATTTTTATTTTTTGTTATTAGTGTTTTTATATTGGGTCTATTTGGTGAGAATAGGTGATAAAGATAAGAAGAACACTATCAAGTAATTTCCAAAAACACCTGTGGTAGCCTACATGTGGGTCATATTATCTTCTGAAAAAATTTCAATGTTCAGATTTTGTTGAGTCATGCATGTTAATATACATACTATTACTTTTGAATTACAGAAAACAATTAGAAGGTGATTATGATGTAGTTACTGGAACTCGCTATGCTGGAGATGGTGGTGTACATGGTTGGAACTTTAAACGTAAATTAATAAGGTACATATATATCAACTAAGTTTTAATACTTGTTCTATGCTTTCCTTCAAAGACTTATATACAGGTACAAAATCAGTGTTTAATTTATGTTAATGATATACAAAAAATGTCCTCCTATATAAGCTTATTGGTCTCATTTCTTATTACGTTCAGAAGATAGGCTTATCTTTTCACTGTGTTTCAGTCGAGGAGCAAATTATGTGGTACAAGTTTTGTTACGACCTGGTGTATCTGACAGTACAGGAAGTTTCAGGTATTTGTATTACATATATTCTTAAAAATTAATACATAATATCTGCAAAATGTGAACTTGTTTTCAAATATAAATATTCACAAACTTAAACTTTATTTAAGAGAATTTTACAAGATATTTATATTTAAAATTATTTTAAGATGAATGGACATTAATTCAATGTCTAAAATAAAAATAAATGGACAAAATTCTTGTATTTTTCTTCTAAAATTCAATTAAATATACCAGTAGAAGAAACCTTTATATTTGTTCATTGTTTATTCAACAGATTATATAGAAAAGAAGTTCTGGAAAAACTAGTCAACTCATGTAGATCTAAAGGCTATGTCTTTCAGATAGAATTGATTATCCAGGCCAGACATATGGGTTATTCAGTTGGGGAGGTAATATTTTCATGATGCATTGAAACTTCTGGGTTAAATAACTCTCCTAAGCAATTATTTCCAAAGGGTTTTATATTTTGAGCTGAAAATTATAGACAAGCTAATAATAGGTATTTTTATACGCCCACATTTTCATGTGGACGTATATTTTCGTCGCCCCCGTCCGTCCGTCCACAAAACTAAACTTGATATATTGGGGCTATCTCTCAAAGATCTCGATTCCCTACGATATTGGCATGTATCGGACCATAACTTCATGGATTATGGCCCCTGACTGTACGAAAAATCAAGTGTTTTGCTTGTGGACACTCTAGAGGTCACAATTTTGATGAAATGCATGTTTATAACCCAAAGATCTTGGTTCCTTTCGATATTTGCGCATGTTGGATCTTCACTTCCTGAATTATGACCCCTGATTGTACGAAAAATCACATTTTTAGCTTGTGGTCCCTCTAGAGGTCACAATTTTTATCCAATTTAAAAAAACGTTTTAATATATCACCGTTACACCCTAATGATGGTTGAGTTCAAATTTCGTAAAAATCAGACCAAAACTGACGGACAAAATGGCCGCCCCCTGTACGCAAATAGTGTAAAATATGGTATTTCAAGGTTGTGGACCCTCTAGAGGTCACAATTTTCATCCGATTTTGATGAAACTTGGAATGCATGTTTATATCCCAAAGATCTTAGTTCTTTTTGATATTCGCACATATCGGATCGTAACTTTCTGAATTATGGCCTCTGATTGTACGAAAATCGCGTTTTAGCTTGTGGTCCCTCTAGAGGTCACAATTTTTATCCGATTTACAAAAACGTTTTAGTATATCACTGTTTCACCCTAATGATGGTTGAGTTTGAATTTCGTGAAAATCGGACCAAAACTGTCGAACAAAATGGCAGCCCCTCGTACGCAAATAGTGTAAACATCTGGTATATCAAGGTTGTGGACCTCCTAGAGGTCACAATTTTGATGAATCTTGAAATACATGTTTACAACCCACAGATCTTGGTTCCTTTCGATATTCATGCATATCAGATCGTAACTGCCTGAATTATGGCCCTTGATTGTATGAAAAATCACATTTTTAGCTTGTGGCCCCTCTAGAGGTCACAATTTTTACCCGATTTAAAAAAAAAAGTGTGAATATATCACAGTTATACACTAATGATGGTTGAGTTTGAATTTCGTGAAAATCAGAAAAAACTGACAGACATAATGGCCGCCTTTTGTACGCAAATAGTGTAAAAATATGGTATATCAAGGTTGTGGGCCCTGTAGAGGCCACAGTTTTTATCCGATTTGGATGAAACTTTAAATATATGTTTTTATCATAAAGATCTTGGCTCCTTTTCATAATCACACATATCCGCATAACCAGATGTAACTTCCTGGAGAAAGGCCCCTGATTGGTCGAAAAATCGTATTTTTAGCTTGTGGATTCTCAAGAGGTCACAATTTTTTTTCCGATTTTAAAAACCGTTTAGATATATTACCATTCCACCATAATGAAGGTTGAATTGGAATTTGGGGAAAATCAAAATGAAACTGACCGACAAAATGGCCGTTCTTTGTACGCAAATTGTGTACAAGGATGTAATACAAAGGTTATGGACCCTCTAGAGGTCACAATTTTTATCCGATTTTGATAAAACTTAAAACATATTTTTATATTCCAAAAATGTCAGTCCTTTTTGAATTTGATATTTCAGACCATAACTTTCTGGATTATGGCCTCTGATTGTTCAAAAAATCATTTTTGTTTTTAGCTTGTTCCCTATCCATCTCTTGCAAAATGTGGGCGTATCCTGCCTGGTTACCGCTGATTGTACATCTTGGCATTAGGTTTATGTACTAACACAAAGTATGAAATTTGTGACCAAAAGTCTCAAGTTCTTCTTCAAGAAAGTTGTTTATAAATAAAATTTTAATACACATTATTATTGAAATTTCAGGTACCAATCTCATTTGTTGATCGAGTGTATGGTGAATCTAAGTTAGGAGGACATGAGATTATAGAATGGATGAAAGGAATATTATATTTATTTGCTACAACATAATAGAAACTACCATTGCCACAAAAATTAAAAATAACATGTAAATATTGATATGTTTTATGTCTTCTATTTATAGGTATTGTCAAATATAAATTCTTCATCCAGTTTTCAACAAAATTTGTGTTTATTCAAAATGTTGAAACAGAAATACTTAAAAATTCTTGACATCGTGAACATTACTAAAGAGTATTATGCAAAAGCTAAATCTGACTATTGCAAGTTTTTTTTCTAGCTTCAAATTTTATTTAAATTACTAGCAGGATACCCGGCTTCGCTCGGGGGTCATAACTCCGAAACCGGAAGTGGTAGACAAACGCCACCTGGTCTATGTTACTCCCCGGTCCGAGCTACCCCTATACCCCAAATTTCAGACTCGGGGCAGACCTAGTGTAGCTGCCAACCCTATCTTACATATCTATGTTAACAATAACATGGCAGCAGTCACAGTGATAGCTGAATGAATGACTGAAATTCAAGACTTTGTTTATTATCGTGGAAATAGTACTTGACAATCAAGCATATGAACTGTCAATAGGCAATCGTAGGACACAATTTAGGCATTTCTTGTCAAAAAAAGAAATTTAACTGAAATTTACCTGTTGTTGAATTACGAATATTAATTTTAAGCGATTTCCCTTAGATTTTATGCAACTGTATCATTTAAAAAGAACTTAAGAATGGTCTATCTGGACTTATAGTCCTTACTAGTATTGTTAGTACTTCGTTCTAATTTATTTTGTACTGTGGTGGGATTTAACATCCATCTGGTTGTAAATATGTTGATTTTGTATGACTGACAGGAGTTGTGTCATTACTTAGAAAAATAGTATCCTTTCACCGAAATGAATTGACAGGTCATTTGTGGAAAATCTAGCCAAAGATCCAATTTCTGGGTCCTGGGAGCTATGGAAAAAGGAAAAAAAAAACCCAATTAAATCAGCACAGTATCATGAAATAACTAGCATTTCCAGTCTATCATGTCAGTCGTCAAGTGATACTCATTTGTAAAGAATTAAGACAATTGTGGGAAGGGACTGGTTACAAAGAGCTTGTATAAGTTTGATTTAGTTATGGTTTAAGAGGATGAATGCGTAACCCTGGGATTTGTCGCCAACCCCACATTGTAGCTGAAATATGTATTTCTTTGAAAAAGTATGACAAAGTTTCAAATAATTGCTTAGACCAGGCTTAGACTGCACCTTTAAATTCTTTCAAGGCTCATATGCAGAAGAATAAAATATTTCTATTTTCGACAGTGTTAGTGTTAGTCTAATATTACTTCTAGCACTGCTTATAACATGCGGCATACAGTGTGCTATGAGGGAAATTTTGCCTAGACAGCAGCGCTATGGCCAATTCTTATATCGAATTCCAACTGCCAAGGGATCTGTACAGCTGTACTTGTCAGTCCCTCCGTCCTGCACCATTTACATAAACAAGTAGCTTAATTATTGAGGTAGGAACTTGTAGAAATGATACTGCATGAATAGGGGATTCCTTTCAGGGCATTTTTTAAGGAATGTGAAGCTTCTTTAATTTTTTTTACAAATCAGTGAGGCTATTTTTGTCAGCAATTGTTTTACTGAATTTGAAAAATAGATTCAAAAATTAACAACCCTTGATTTCCTTTACAACAAAGTGTAATAAATTGAAGAACAGTAAACATTGCTTTATTTACAATAAAATCTATATTTTGTCATAAAAATCTTATCACACAAATAAGTACAAGTATATTAAGCATTTTCATCAAAAAAATTAATATTCAACAAATCTTGTTAATTATCTAAATAATGTGAGGAATTGGTACAAACAATTATCAACATATCCCCTGAATGATGAGATTAGGAAAGTCAAATAATTATAATCAAATTTACTTTACTAGTAAGAATTCATTATGAAAAGAAACTATATATACCCAGTGCACCTTACTGATATTATGTATTTACTATGAGTACATTTTAAGAATGGCACTTTTGGGGGATATGTTCACTTGAAAACAATAAATACTGGTAATACCAGAAGGTTGTTCCCAAACCATAATTTTTCATCATCTACTCTACAAATGGTGTTTTGCTCAATGTACATGTAGGATGCTAAATTCCATTCCATATCATTTCAAATGACATGTACATAGACTAATATTTACAACCAGTTCTGCTGTGTAAGGTATGCAAAAAGGAAAATAATTCTGGCAAACATTGTTCACCAGGTTAAAGTTTCATTATTATTTCCATCCTGTACCAATTAATCAATTTTTTTTATAAATTAAGATATTATTATAGATATTAATCCTTCATTAAATCTTGTCTTTCTTTAAACTGGTGATCAACGGCTTTAGACAGAGCCAACATATATTCTTCTAAGCCTACAGTACTTTTCTGTAAATAGATAAGTTAGAGGTAAACATGAGGTAAACATGATGTAAATGGCAAACAGAAATCCAGGTGATTATACATGTATAAATGATAATCAATATCTCAACAACTGTATAGTATAAATTGTTTACTGACAATTTAGTAACTGGTCACATTAAATAGAATGCCAAAAACTGACTGAATTTAATAGAAACAAAGTTTCTATTGTTGAAACATTACTTCCATTAAAATCAGTAATTGTTTTCCATAAAAAGTTTTGTGTTTTATTGTGTACATATTATAGCTTGAACATATGCAATCCACATTACAATCAATTGGAAAATATATTTATACAACTCTATGAAGAATTTAACAGAAAAAATATACCTTTTACAAGGTACTACCGGAGAAGCCAATAGCACATACAGTACAAATTTAAAATAAGCCAACAGTGAGGCTGATAGATGACATGTATCGATTAATCGCACATTTATTTTATTCAAAAGTATCAAGCAATCAAACTGATTATCAACTATACACTAAGTTTCATCACTCTCTAACAGATAGAATCAAAGTTATCTTGTCCCAAAGCATCGAGCAATGAAATTGCTTAGCTTTAGCTTGAAATGTTAATCATTGGACTCGGTCAAGACATTCACCGAATGAACATCAAGTTTAAACATTCTACCTCAATTAAATCATTAAAAGCAGAGTTGTTATGTTTCAAAGTCTTGACCAATCAAATTGCTTATCGCTCCTTAGAAGCAGAAAATTCTCATCATCCAACTTATCAAGGTAATGATATAATGAATCTATACTCAAAGTTTCATCACTCTCACTTAATTATAACCAAAGTTATCGTGCCCCAAAGCATCAACCAATCAGATTGCTTATCTCTGCTTACCATAAGCAGACAATGTTTACCACCGAACTTCATCAAGGCATTCACCTAATGAATGTCTACACCAAGTTTGAACATTCTACCTCAATTAGAAGGAGAGTTATTGTGTTCCAAAGTCTCGACCAATCAAATTGCTTAATGCTCTGCTTACCCTGAGTAGAAAATGCTCATTATCGAACTTAGTCAAGGTATTGATGTAATAAAACTATACACCAAATTTCATCACTCTCACTTAATTAAAACTAAAGTTATCGTGTCCCAAAGCATCAACCAATCAAATTGCTTATCTCTGCTGACCTTAAGCAGAAAATGGTCATCTTCGAACTCCATCAAGGCATTGACCTAATAAACACCTACACCAAGTTTGAACATTCTAGCTCAATTAGAAAAAGAGTTATTGTGCTCCAAACTATACTAATGTCCAAAAGAAAGTATACACACTAAAAATATGACTAAGTTTTGTTTAAATCAAAAAAATGTGATAAAACTACACTGAACATGTCTTGTGCGCCCAAACTCAATATTTCTAAGCAAATAAAAGGCAAAACAAATGGACATTGTATTGTACCCAAATACCCCATACAGAGGAAAAACGACTTTGTTTGAAGCAGGACAAAATGCACAGTGTATACTTTCTTGTGGACATTAGTGCGTGTCCTAAAGCACCAACTAATCAAATTGCTTATCTCTGCTTACCCTAAGCAGAAAATGCTCATCTTCAAACTCCATCAAGGCATTGACCTAATAAACACCTACACCAAGTTTTGAACATTCTATCTCAATAAAGAGATTTATTGTGTTCTAAAAAGTGTGACGGACGGACAGACAGACAGACGAACCCATTTTAATAGTCCCTTGCTTTCTTCGAAAGGCTGGGGACAATAATAAGAGATCGATTTGAATAAAGTACTAACATGGGAAAGGACAAAATACCAACATTGCAATGATCCTCCAGAGCAGGCAAATGCTTTCCAATAATCTAGTAGCAGCTGTTTAAATTTCAATTAGTATAGTCCATAAGCAAAATATTTGCAAATATAAATAACTTTGGGTCAAATAGATTTCACCTTATTATTCTCATAGGAGGGTAATTAAATTTTGAAATACATTGATTGATGGAAAAATACTGTACCTGAATGAACATGGCATGGGCAATGAAAGGTAATTTCCTGAGAGTACGACCACTTAATCCCTGACTTTTTCTATAAAAAGAAACATAGGTTGCCATTAGTTGCCAAAATACAAATTGATGCCCACAAGCACTTTATTATTTTGTACCATTGAAAAGTGTATTCTGCATTTTAACACTGTGACAATGGTATTGTGGAGCAATGGAAATTGCAAATTATAAAACTAAAATACCTATTTTGAACTGCTGACATATGCATTTTGCACCGTGAACATTGAAATAACATTGGCAACGTTATCCTTCCATATAAACAATTTATATTAACTTTAGCCTCTAGAGCCTCCACAAGACTTTTCAAAGTTATCAAGGGCCTTAACTCTGGCAGTAATTATCAGAAATCATTGAAAATGAATAAGATTTGTGGTCTCATGACCTTAAATACTGTCTATAAGTTTAAAGTCAATCAGATTTTATCTTTAGACTCTAGAGCTTCTACAAAATTTTTCAAAGAGGTCAAGGGCCATAACTCTGGCAGTAATTATTGGAAATCGTTGAAAATCAATCGGCTTCTGCATCTCATATGACCTTAAACACGGTGTATAAATTTAAAGTCAATCGGACATTATTTTTAGCCTCTAGAGCATCAAAAATATATTTCAAAGAAATCAATAGGATTCTTCTTCTCATGACCTAAAAACAATGTGTAGAAATTTAAAGTCAATCGGATATTAACTTGAACCTCTAGATTGTCCACAAGATGGGGATGCTCGATTGAACGTTCCGGAATTGAATTCTCTCAATTCTGAAAATAGTGTCATTCGAGTGAACAGGAGAATTTCGGAGTACAACGCATGTGCCGACTGCACAAAAAATATCTCAACCAATCATGGCAGCTGAAACATATTTGCTATTTAAAATACGTCACAATTCTACTCACACCACCTCAGCTGTTGGGACTGGCAGAACTGTGACAGGACTGAATTCTGTATCACTTGATTGCGATTCTGTCAATTCAGGACGTTCCGGACTGACAATCGAGCATCCCCAATATTTCAAAGTGATCAAGGGCCATAACTCTGGCAGTAATTATCGGATATCGGTAAAAAATCAACAGGCTTCTTCGTCTCATGACCTTAAACACTGTGTATAAATTTAAAGTCAATTGGATATTAACTTTAGCCTCTAGAGAGTCCACAAGCAATTGTGGACGCCAGACAGACAGGGGCAACAACAATATGCGACCACATTTCAATGTGGGTGTATAAATATTACAAGTGAATACACCTGCCACATGTAAACCATAAAGCATATAAAAGCTAGTCATTTTAAAGCAGTAAATTATTATAACATTAAGTGTTTTACAAATGCTATTGAGAACAATATTTTCTGATGTGCCTTGTTTAATTTTTTTTTACTCACATGGAAAAATGATAACAACATTTTAGCAAGAATTTCACTCATGGGTTCATCTTAAAATGGAAGGGAGAACATTTTGATAATTTAGAATATAAATAAACATAATAATACTCACAATGCAATATTTCTAAGTTGTAAACTAACACTTGTGGCTTCATTTTCTATAAACCTCATTATTTCTAGCGATCTTAAATCCAATAATTGTTGTGCTGGACATATAACACCAGTCTATAATATAAACATTGAGTGTTATGTAAACTTAAAATACAGATGTGACGTCATCCTTTGATGTTGGAGTACCATTATTTCAAATAATCGTACGGGCAATGTGCCAAGCGTAACTTGGTAAAATATTCAACTCGAGTGACGTATTTCATTGCAAAGCACGTGCAAGTGTCTGTATTTTAAGTTGTTTAATGGTCTCGAGCTTAAGACATTGCGTAATATATTGTAAAAACATTCGGGCCTCAAGACCCTCATGTTGTTACAATATATTACTTAATGTCTCGCTCTCGACCATTAAACCACACATAGTGTTTCTCACATATTAAAATCTTTGGTGATGCTACTTCACTAACCGTTGAGGTGGAATTATTATTACTAATATTGAAGCATTATACATGGTTAGAATAATTTCTAGTTATGCTGCAGCATACATATATATTGTGTGTCGTTTGATGGTCAAGAGCAAGACATTAAGTATCAGTAATATATTGATAATGCACAAGGATGTTAGACTGAATGTTGTATCAATAATAAAGCAATGTCTTACTTGAGATCATTAAACAACTTAAAATACAAACATTATCTTGCACATGCATTTCAATGAAATTGTCATGCGAGTCCAATATTTCATCAAGTATAAATAATGTATCATTGTCATATTGCTTGTATGTCAACTTCAAAGGATGGCATCACATCTGTCTAAATGATTTCTAGAGATGATGCACCATTAATTGTACACTGTATGGTAACACAAATTTCTGGAGATGGTGCACCATTCAGCATGTTAAGCAAAAGGGACTTTTAGTGATACAATGTACCACTCACTGATGGCCATTGAAAATTTGTCTGTCGTCGTGATCACTGAGATTTCAAAGGATAAGGTTGGGTTAAAGATACATTATGTAAGATTTAGATAAGGAGCTAGCCATTCTTTCTATAATAGTTCGAAAATAGATAATGTAAAATTAATAATTTAAACGTTTCAGTCAAATTACTCTATTGCGAGCGAAGATATTAGCCTTTGAAAGTTTGACAAGACATAATTAGATTATGTGTGCAATAGTTGATTATGGCCTTGATCAGTTAATTACTGCCTGAACCATGGTAAATTATAAACGAATTTCGTCGATTGTGAACAAACTACTGAATAATTGTTATTAAAAACTTGGCTATGTGTCTGAGTTTGGGCAACAAAAATGGCATCTGAAGACAATAAAATTAATTTGGAAACAATTGATTGTCAGTCTACTAAATTTTATTCACAATGAATATAACACAGATTACACAAATACTCGTAAATATTGCTTTCCACATCATCATCACCCCATAATTGTAAATACCCTGTATATTATATATATTTTAATAAATTATATTAGGCCCTACATCCCTGTCAATTATATGCAACTCTGTGGCCAACATTTATAAATAAATACACTTTATTTCATAATTTTAATTGATAATATTTCATAATGCGGGATATAATCCCAATGCTGTGTGGTTATTAGTCCATTTTCAAAGTTTTATGATTACCACAAAAACTATGAAAAAAGGCTAACGCTTCTCAATAATTTCCATATTTAATTCACGTTCCGACTGTTCACGTCAATAATATTCCTGATTAAATTACTTTTTTTTACTTATTCGACAGATACCGAAATCGAAACAGAACAGTTCTGGATGTCTAAACATCGTTTATCGTCTTTATAAAAATCTATTTAAAACAAAAAATCACTTGTCAAAAGATGTATCTCAGATTGCGTGTATTATTGGGTCTTGTGTGTTAATTATGCAGACTGTGGGAAAAACTCAGGCAAGTTTTGCGCTAAATTTAACCATTTTCACTGCATCTGTGTAGCATACAATAGAATTCAAAGCGTTGATTGGCAAGATCACGATCTACGAAATGCCATCAGAAAACTCCATTCTCTGTGTATTTTAAAATGGAGTTGTACTTGTGATTAATATAGGCCTTTAGTTAATAACTGAAGAGTACAATTGTATGGATACATTGCCCTGTGAATTTCAAAACGAAGCCGGGATTTTCGGAAATTAACTGTGTTAAAGAGACGCAAAATTCTGAACAGTTTTTGCACAACGGAAATAATATAGTAGTTTGCTCATAATCGAAGAAGTCTGTTTAAAATTTACGATGGTTCAGACAGTAATGTCTAATTAATTTTTTAGAAAACATTTCAGTCAGGCCTAAAGAAAGATCTGCAGTAGGCAGATTTAGCTCTTGCATAATGTATGTTTAATCATAATTATTAGTATTTTTTAATATTTCAGTCCGTTTCTACCTTCTTTTATGACGCAGACTAATGAAATCGAAACTACTAGATCCCGTCCATTTTGTTGATACACTTGGTAGAAAGATCAGGATTTTGACAAAACTAGCATTAATTTTAGTCAAAGGAAACAAAATCGTAAAACATTAGGCCATATGAAAAAAATATTCTGGTTCTCAGACAATCCTTCCAAAAAATCTGGATGAAGGAGGGTTGTATTTTTTTTATTCTGTGCTAGTTTATGATTATCCAGTGTCATTTAGGATTGTCAATAACATTAGGTTGTGTACATGATAATGAGGTTTAAAATGGAAATGTTTGATAGTTACTTCCCTGTACCACAGGAAATCTGAACATGCAGCATTTGATACTATGCAGTGATGTGGCGGTATCGGAATACCTGAACACTTCTTTTGTATGGCCTTATCAATGTGATATTACATAATCTACCTACTCTCATTAGTTCATTGAGACAGGAATGAAATATTTTATAAATAGCTGCAGGAGATGGTGGTCCTATATATTGTTTGATATCTGCTCTATCTACAAAAGCCATATCTATAGCTCCTGTTACATTAGAAGTGGTTAATATTAAAACATTAGGAAATCTGTAAAGATAAAAATGAAATACATGTATATTTTTAAAATTCATGTATCAATTAATCAAATATTGATACAATTTAACCGCAAAATTGCAACAAATTCTGTTAATGTTGAATGACAGATATGTGATGTAATTTTCACTATCTATCACTATAAAGCATTTTATTCACCTCATTTTAAGATTTCCTTTGGAAATTATCTCAAATAAATGTTTGTCTAAGACTTCAAACCTTTACCAACCTTTTAATTTGATCTATTTGTGTAAGAAGAGCATTCACAACCCTAATAGCATCTGATGGTTCTGTACCAGCCATAGAACTTTTACGAGCTGCTGTTAAACTTTCAACCTAAAAGGCAAATTTTATTGAATGCAGTAATTGAGTTAAGTACATAAAACGTGACACCTCTAAATACATTAGGCCAAAAAAAAGGGGTTCTGTTTCCAGTAACGGATGGAAAATAGGGTAGGGTCGGTAGGTAAGTGGGTTTTTTTCGGTTTTTTTTTTAAATGTTACATTGTTAGATCTAATAGATCTACTGTAGCATAATATTCTGTGTAAAAATCTTCAATTTTATGAAGCACGAATATATTGGTGGATTATGATTTAAATATACTCTTAGGGGGCAGATGGACTTTTTAATCAGTCTATGCTAAAAAAAAAAAAAAGCGTTGGGAGGCCATTTTGTTCAAGGGAAAGAACATGCAAATTAGGTCCGTAATAAATTTATTTGTCTTGTTTTAAATACCAATCAAGCAGATCCTATCCACCTGTTTGAAATATATGTTCACTTGTTTTTGTCCAATTGCGTGCCGTTACTTATTAGAACGAAGGTTGTGAGGATTGTAGCTTTTCGGAATGTGCAGTGGTAAATCTATACGAAACCTGTAGTCTCGATTTTCACATCAGTTAGCAATCTCGCGTCATCAGTATGGCAGTTCTTAATAATCGTTCGCTGTACAGTACCCGCCTATTCCGATTGGTAAATGCAGATTCAAATAGAACGGTTACATTTATAGCAACAAATAGTAATGGCATTTTCACGAATCCGGCAGGCTTAGAGTATTCTTGACGGTCGCTCGTTGAACAAAAAAGTTTTTTATTTCTCTTGACACTAAAAAATTTTAAGAGTCGGCAGGTTTTATAATGGGTCGGTCAGGTTACCGGAAACAGAATATTTTTTTTTTGGCCTTATGTCTTTCAAATAATTTTATCTGAATTAAATTTAGAAGCATAAATACGCCTGGATACCTCATCAATAAGGACAAAGACCAGGGCATCAGGATCATCAATTATTTCTTGTATTTTCTGAAACATCTTCATTACTAATTTACCTGACTGAAAAAGAGAAAAAATAGGGTATAATGTCCACTTAATAGAACTTGGTTATTCTTGAAATAACACTTGGTTTGTGTGTCATTCTTTTATTAATTAATGTGGAAGAAACCAAAGAATGGAGAGAAAACACATGAGGTGAGGAAGCCCCAGATACTATTGCAGGATCAAATTCCTAGCTTGTATAGTGGACAGATGTGAGACAAAATGTATTAAACCATTCACATTTCGACTTCAGTTGCATGCACAAAAATAGTTGTAGTTGTGTCCTATTGCTTGTGGGTGTTTTCCAAATATGTTAGTGTTCTTCACAAAATGTAATAGAGCAAACTGATAGCACCAAAAAAATAAGTACATTGTACATCATGTTGGATTATTATATACTATTCAAAAAAAAAAGGGGATATTTGATTTTGGGGCATAATACTAAAATATGCAAATGACTACGAAAAAAGTCACTATAGAACCTAACAGAAGAAACATTTCCAGTTACATGTGACGACCAAACGCACCAATAGCTACCGCATGGAATGCAGGTGATGCTTGGGATCATCATGGGGGTCCAACCCAAGATTTGCACGACTCTGACTTTGAATGTTACAGTCATTGTGGCATTGAATTCCAGGGTGGAAACATCAGTTTAATTGTTTTAGTGACCAGAAAACAAATTTTGATATGCGTCGGCTTACCCAAAATGAAAGGTTACGTGCCCTTGGCATGCTACAGATCGGCACAACACAGGCGGTTGTGGCGCGGACGATGAATGTTTCTCAGTCTGTCATAAGCAGGCTATGGTCCAGATACCGTGATACACAATCTGTACAGGACAGACCACGCTCAGGTCGACCAAGGGCGACAACTCAAGCCCAGGATCGATTTATCCGTACCTTGGCCTTGAGAAATCGTGTCATCACAGCAAATCAGACAGACACTGGTGTGAGAGTGAGTGGCCAGACGATTCGGAATCGACTGCATAGGGGTCACCTTCGCGCCCGACGTCCTCGCGTGATCCCTTGTTTGAGAGATCATCACATTCAGGCAAGACGTCGTTGGTGTAGGGATCGTCAACACTGGGATAATCGCTGCTGGAGCAATGTGATGTTTTCAGATGAGTCAAGGTTCACTGTTGATTTTTTGGACAGACGTAGGAGGGTGTGGCGTCGTCGAAACGAGCGCTTCCAAGACGTTAACGTCATCAGACATGATCGATTTGGGGGTGGTTCTGTTATAGTGTGGGGAGGCATCACTGTTGCTGGAAGAACGGCTTTACATGTTGTTGCAGGGCGTGTTACAGGCCAGTACTACCGGGACAACATCTTGGCAGTCCATGTTGTGCCGTTCGCACGACGTCATGGCCGCCGTTTCATCTTCCAGGATGACAACGCAAGATGTCACAGTGCCAGGATCGTTACACGTTACCTCCAACAACAGAACATCACCACGTTACCTTGGCCAGCACTGAGTCCCGACCTCTCCCCCATCGAGCATGTCTGGGACATGCTTGGACAGAGGTTACGTCAACGTCAACAACGTCCTGCCAATGTCCAAGAACTTGCTGCTGCGTTGCAACAAGAATGGGACAATCTGGACCAAAATGACCTTAGACGTCTCATTAGGAGTATGCTACGTCGGATCAATGCTTGTTTGGCAAACAGAGGAGGATTTACCCGTTACTGACTTGGTTGTGATGCTGTGGTAACTTTGCTGTTTGACCCCGGGTATCATTTTACCCTTATAATGGTCAGTCTGTGCCTTACTTAGTCTAACGATCATTTGGAATAAATCGATGAATGTGAACTTCATTTCATTTTGTCATTTGTTTCTTCGTCAGTTTCATTAGGTGACTTTAATAACAATTAAAAATCAAATATCCCCTACTTTTTTTGAATAGTATATCACATAAGTGTACAGAATCAATCATGTATCTTGACAATTCATTACTACAGTGTAAAGATAGGCTGCCAGGCCATGAAACATGTGCCAACGATGGCTCATATTTATTCTTTTGTAGGTAATAAGAACATTTACATGATGCGAAAAACTGATCAAGTGTAACAGGTCATGAAGTAATTGACGGGCGGGGGGCGATGACAAGATACAACTACATTTCAATGTGGGTGTATAAAAAGTGAAACTACCTCTGAAAACCATTTTGAAAATAAACTATGACTATTGATTTCTATAAATTGACCATAAGAATATTTATCTGATAATCTGATACATAGTTTCTGTGCTATAGCTTTACATAAAGATGTTTTTCCTGTACCTGGGGGACCTACAAAACAATGTTAATAATTATTTTATACATATTTAGAATCAGTATTTTGAATATGTCACCAATTGTAAAAATTTGAAATACCACAGCAAAGATTTTTAAAACTAAATACATTTGCACAATGTTTAAAAAAACATTATCATGAAATGAAATTAAATTTATAAATATGTGCAGACATTACTTACCATGTAGTAACACTACTCTATTCCATGATATAACATTACTATCAACTTTTTTATCGGAGAATAAAAGTGTCGTCGTTGAGTAATTCAATAACTGAAATATCAAAAACAAAAATTGAATTCCATTGTTGCAATTCTAATAATAGTTTGTATCACGATTAAACTCAATCTGATTAAAACACAGATCCAATTTCGTTTCGTTTTTATAGTTCAAAATTTCGCTTTTACTTGTCTTTACTATACTTGGTTCTGCTTGAAATGAGGGGTTAGCCAATCAAATGGTCTGTCGAATCGAGCGTTTGACCTTTTTTGCGCGGAACTGTGGGTAGACATTAGCGCCAATAGTAATCAAAACAAAGCAAAAGTAGATAAAAAATACATGGCGGTCGCTAATTGGTTAATCAAATGACTGACGTAATCGGGTCAAATGTTGCTTGCTTGGTACCTGACGTCATAGAACGTGAACTCCCACTATAACTTGTTAGATCTACATGTATTGTAGGCCATCGAAAGTATAAAAAATGAAACGAAATATAGATCTATATTTTAATTAGATTGGATTAAACTATAACATTTTGATACTACTAACAGGTCCATTTTTAAGGTTGTTTTCATTGTCACTGACATATTTAAACATATTAAACTAAACCACTGCAACAAATAGTGAAAAAGTTTACCTTGCCCTTAACATCATCATCAAAAACTAAACTATCCCATAAACCATCAAAATCTGTTGATGGTAACAACCAATGATTCGCAGCCGCCAGCTCCTCATCTTCTATTTCTTCCTGACCTGGACCATCTTCATGTAGTTGAAATACATGTAAACTGAGATTACTTTTGCACAGATCAATAGCCTGAAATGTTTGAGATAATTTAAGTAACAGTCCTAGCTTGAATAATTACAAAGTAATTTAATAATAAGTTCCTCATGGTGAGCCTCATGGTGGCAACAAACCCAGTTTACATGTACTTTCTACTCTGTAGACGATTCAATTTCTAAAATTCAAATTACTACTCTATTAAGCGCTGAGTAAGCCATTTCCCCTTTAGTTTGAGGTACAGTATTATTGTTATTGAAAGTCAAAATATTTGAGATTTGAAGAAATACTATTTCGTCAAATGTCATTATCATGTTACCTTCTGATCTGAACAATTAATATCTGTGTCAGTTAATGAGACAGACTTAACATTGTCTGTTAAAAATGGATCTTCAAATTGGTTGATAGTAAAATCACCATAAGCAATTGTTTGTTTCTTTAGTAATACCAATACATGGTCTTTAATCATAGAAGCTCTTGCAGTACTGAAAAATAACACATTATATCACATATTATTGAAGAGTTGAATCATCAGCACCAAAATTTAAAAGCTGAGCTATTGGTATTAAACAAGGATTTAACCTAGTGTCCTGTTAAAATCTAGTACAACATCTTCAATAGAAGGCTTGATCTCACTTTAACTATGTACATATTCTTATCAAGGCCTTCACGTAATACCCTGAATATTTCAGCACTAATTTCGATTGGGTAAAAGGCCAGCTTGTGAACCTATCAGATTCCTCGATCACTGCGAATACCAAGTCTTGCACTTTCAAGCTAAAATGCCTACCTGTGATAATCGAGTTGCAAAGTTCAAAGTTCGTTTAATGTCAAGGTTTCCATGGAGGTCACTATGTCACACACAACCTCTGATTGGACACTATTGTTCACGTGTCTTTAGATAACGTAGCTATAAGTTCTGGAATTGTTTGCAAAACTCGCAGTCGTTGCTTCAGGAACATTCTTGTACCACTGCTTTGGAACTTAACTATTTGAGATTGAAATTAAATGGTATATATATACTCTTCATAAAAAGTAGGGGATATTCAGAAACAATATAAAACTGCGGAAATGCACTGCTGTTTTTATTAGAGGTAACCAGTGTATGTTAATAACAGGCCAATTGCCTACACATGAACATAAACAGTCCATATGGGCGGCTTATCTGACAGCCCCATTTCACTCGCAAAGAAATACACTGTTAAAAGTGAAAATAGATGTTTTTGATTACTGTATTAATAAGGAGTAATTGCTCCACCAATCCTCAGACATTCAGCAATTCGTCGTGGCATGCTCCTAATCAACATTCCAATCACGATTTGGGGCAATCTGACCCACTCCTCTTGCAGTGCTACGGCCAATTCTTGCAGTGTTGTCGGTGGACGTTGACGAACACGTCTCCTGATCAAATTAAACGTAACACACTAAAGCAAAGATACGCTAAACAGTAAATCTTATGCAAGAACCGATAGGAAAGCAAACATGGATAGAATAAACCAGCACGCAGCAGTTTTCATCAATCCTTCCTTGAAGTGTCAAATTTGACAATGTACCCCTCCCACCTGCATGGCGCTATCGCGTGTCGCACATGCAGCTCAGTGGTTCTGTTGGGGGCGATACGTTCTTCATCTGTGAACATACTCTAAAAGCATGTCAAGTGTCCATGACTATTTATCATCCCACAACCTGCATAGGTATTTGCATTTCAATATCCCCTACTTTTTTTGAAGAATATATGTGGTACATTATATAGTATTAGGAAGGCTATTTTTTATTGGGAAAACAAATGTCAATATTATATAAATATTATATGAAGTAGTATTAGTAATACAGTATAGGTATTGGAGATAAATGCTATTTTCAACATTGTGATATTTCAGTATTCATATTGCAATATAACTATGTTTGTTTATGAAATAATCGTTATATACCATAATTATGGCCGGTGTATCCCCTTTTTATATTGTTTTTTGTTTATCCGGGATGAAAGGTCGATATACAAATGTAAATAGGGTTATAGGGGGTCGCTTTAGCCCCTACATGTCAGATTGAATTTTGTCTGCACATAAATTAGAAACAAGTATTACCCAGAATAATAAATAATATTTTAATCTAAGAATTTACACATTGATAATGGTCTGTCTTATGCCCTCCTTTAGCTCCATCTGTTCGCAAACAAAATCGACAGAGAATAGCTGTATGCTGTTTGTCGGAATCATTGTACCGGAAATATAACCAAACTTGGCGCTGAGGTAATAGGTTGGGACCAGATTGAGTTGACACTGACGTATTGTCACCGCCCGCCAGGATCTTGACCCATTTCTTGAATTTCGTTTTGTTCATCTAATGATGTCATAGCATTTGCCGATTAAGTACTAAAGCAAAATATTGAAACATCGCCCGCCCCTAGACAATTACAATAACTTATTTTTATTTAATTATTAACTACTATCTGGTTTTACCTGTACATATGGAATGGACGCTAAATCATTTGAGCAGTCGACAAGGGTTGTCGCATATTTATTCTTTTGTACATGGGTAATTGACATATTTACAAGACAATTTTATACAGATCATATTATAATTTTTGTTGTTTGAGGGTTCACGAGGCTCTACAAATAGAAACAAGGGCCTTAACTCTGAAAGTAATTTACTGAAATTGTTAAAATTTTACAGGTTTTTTCGTTTTACTAATTTAAATAATGCATATAAATTTCACACAGATCAGATTGTAACTTTTGTTGTTAGAGGGTTCAGAAAGTGAAACAAGGGCCATAACTCTAGACATAATTAACAGAAATTGCTGAACTTCAATAGGCGTTTTCGTTGATACAACAATCTATTTATATAAAAGCCAATAAAAAGATTTCTTACATAACATTTTACTGTTCTATAGTTTTCATAATAAACTACAAAATTAATTGGCTCAAAAGTGTACCATGTACCCGCGTCATGTTTACCTGCAAATTACAAATTTGGACTGAGATTAGTGAGATAACTGTAGGTTGATAACAATTATCATCAAACACTCGACTAGAAAAGGCCTTCCTTTGAACAAGTTTTGGAGTCATTTGACTACAAAAAGTTACTGACCTATAACTCCATTACACTGACTCCAAACTGTACTGTACATACCTTAACATATAATAAACCAATTCCTATTGAAATAAAGGTGAAACCTTGCCGTATAATTATATGATTTGATTAAACCCAACTGCCATGCAAAATTTCTGTTCATTTTAAAATGGCCGCCGAACTAAAATCACATGGTTTCATGTCACTCAAAAGTTCAGATTAAGATTATGATTTCAGTGTTCCACTCTTCACTATTTGTAACTTAATTACCATGCAAACTGTGATATGTGTTGAAAATTTTGCAATTGAACCTAATTTTACTTGCTTAAAGCCTCGAATAGCCTGTATGAATTGTAGCTGTAGGTAAGAATTATAACGGCTACAAATTGCAGCTAACACTCGATGTGATATCTATTCAAATAACATAAAAAAATATATACAGATGTCCGAACATCAATGGTTGTCCCTACTACTACTACTTCTATTATATTAAAGTAGCCAAGTCTCTAATTCAATATCATCCCAAGTAGTGTTGAAACTACTATTTCGATATTCGTTAACAGATACAAAATAAGGGTTATCCGATTCATTTTACTATCCATTACAATATATTCTGACATTCCGTATGCTCTACATTTAGCTATTTTTACATCTGACGTGTAATGAAGCGCTATATAAATTGAACAATAATAATAATAATAATAATTACTTTGAAATTTTCCCCAATGCAATTGATCACGTACGCAGCTATGAGCATAAATGTCAACATTATGCGTATTATTTAGTGATAGTAACTAATAAAATTATTAATGCAGTGCAACGAAAACAGTAGTCTAAATAAAAAAAATATTCATTCATTTCCTGCGCTAGTTTACGGCATACAAGTTTAGACCGTGTTTTGACTTCCCACAATGAAATTTATTCATAAAGACCTAGGTCACGTATATTTCCACTCACTGATTGGTTCAATAGTAGTAGATTATCAGAATGAGGCAAACGATCTTGGCGGAATAAATGGCACATGATTTTATTTTACTTTTTTCATTCGCGTTGATTGAGAAAAATGATAAGTGGGAGGGTGCGGATAACCTAATTGATTTTTTGGGATGTCATAGATAGTCTTAATAATTACGGCTAAAGGTAGGCACGTTTTTTTCTTCGCAGCTCAAACAATTTGCAAATCGAAAGTTACGATTTCATACTCGGCATACACAGACACTCGAATAAACATTGAAACAAGTAAGAAATTATGAGTACCGGTATTTTGATGTAATTTTGTTGAAGAATTTCACGTCTTCGAATTATCCGAATAGTATTCGGATAGCCAACAAAAGTATTCAGATCATAAATCTCGATCCAATTTTCAACACTAATCCAAAGTCTTCGACATTGAAAACACAAATTATTTGTCAATTTAAATCAACAATGATGTTGTGATCTTACCGGGAAAAAATGGTCTTCTGGTGTCCAATATTTAAGACAAAATAAACATATTACCATTGGTACATGAATCGTGTACCATAATGCGTTTCAGTCCCATTTGTAACAAGGGATACGAAGAACGAGGCTAGACATATTCCACCACACTGATCTGCAGTGAATATTTGCTAGGTCGCTACAATCACTGATAAGGATGACATCGATGTGGCTTAATGAGCCAGAAATATTAACTTTTTTCCTGCGACAAATTGAATTCTAAAACATTTTTTTTATGTATTGGAAAAATAAATAAAGGCGTTTGACGTATTTGTAGGTAAAAATTATTTCCTATTTAGTGTAAATGGGTATTAAAATGACTAAAATGCAGCATTTTCTCCGAAGCAGTAACGTCTTATGTAAACAATGCACGCGCCATTCGACCAATGATTGACGTCGCGTGCTGTGACAGCACGTGTTAAGGCAGTCATCTTTGACAGAGATTTATCACTAGACTCGTAATTCTCTGTGAAACAGATTGATATTCCACAAGTCATGTCAAACGGTGACCCCATATTCTTATCTGGAGAGCATGTGCAATAAATACTATGTAGACTGGAATAACCAGACGCTAGAAATTGACATTCAATTGAGACTTCTGGAATATTTCACCGAACATAACTGTTTTGAAATTAAGAGTAAAAACGGAAACGACTGAATGTAAATCAGTTTATATACAGTCATACAGAATTACATTATTATATGCGTTGCGACCCATTTGTGTCAATTAGTGATTTAGCTCCTTTAACAATTAAAAATAAAGTACTGTACCTGCATGGATTCTGACGAATTTCTATGTGATGAGTCGTTACATTTGCTGACTGAGGAAATGCATCACCGAGTTCTGAAACAAGTTCCATGCTATACCATAAAGCCTATTGAGTGGGTTTGCTTAATAATGACGAATGATATTAAATTCAAAACTTATTCATCCACGACATCGAATTAGATTTAGATTAGGCTAGCTAGCTTGGTACTCAAATTCTAAAAACACGTAGGGGAAGGCTTATCTATTATAAATATCAACGAAAGAGTAATGAAACCGAATGATAATTATTCTTAAGCTGTAATTTAAGGTGTTCTCTGTGTAATATGTATTAACTTTCGTTATTTTATAATGTAAATATATGCTAAATATAAAAAAAAAAAAACAACTATTTCGAATTTGGCGGAGTTTGGTTAAAAGAGGAAATGTTTTAACCGGAAGTAAGTAGCAACTTCGTACCATGATTGAGAATACAAACTGACAACTTCATACCAATAATCTCGATATGAGTCCTTTCGCCCATTTTTTTAGCACTATTATTGCCCTTCGTCGCCTTTTATGTTCTTGATATAAATACATTTATTTAATAGTATTTTGGTCAAAATGTTTTCAAATCGATCAATTCTAACTACAGTTATAGCCTTTTAACGTTTACAATGGTTTATATTTGTCTATAATCGAATAAAGCTGTATATTATTAAAGACAATTAAAATGCCTTGAATCTTGATAAAGTTGCAGAATGTATAGATGACCAGCCGTTCGGGTCGAATTTATATTGCTTAACAAAATGAAATGACGTTCCCATGTACCTCCAAATTACACTGTTACGGCAGTCAAAACTTATTTGGTAAAGTGTGGTACAGGGATAATTTATGATTATTATTATTACAGCATATTTATAGTGCGCCCTTTAAAGGTAAACCAACTAATAGTGAATTAAAGTTATCTAATCGAGAAGTAACTAGAGAATTAACAAGTGACTTAGTGGCCTCTATATATATACAGTTACAAATTTACGTATTTTACCTATATTTCTGATATTAAAATAGCACAATTTACAAATATTATTTACTTGAGCTCCCAGAAGCATAAAACTATCAAAGATTGCGCCAATGCTACGAGCAAAATAAGATGGAAATATATCACAATTACCAATTACAACTAGAGGTTATCATGTACAAATTTACTTAATTGATGCCTTGAGCCTAATAACAAATATTCGGTTTTATCATCATTCAATTTTAGTAAGTTCTTTGACATCCATTTTCTAATTTCACTAATACAGTTCTCAAGTTGCAATTTTGATAAATTGAAAGAAGATGGACAATTAGGTGTAAATGAAATATATAATTGAGTATCATCTGCATACAAATGAAAGCTGAGACCATATTTTCTGAAAATATCACCTAATGGTGACGTATAAAGAGTAAATAAAATAGGACCAAGAACGGAACCTTGAGGAACCCCAGATGACAAAACAGATTCAGAAGACGATTTACAATTAACTAAAATACACTGTTTTCTACCCACAAGATAGCTTTCTAAAAGATTTAATGCAGAGCCACAAATACCGAATTTAAAATGAAGTCTACGTAAAAGAATATAATGATCCAACGTGTCGAAAGCAGCAGATAAATCTAATAAAATTTAAAATGTACATTTCCATCAAAATATCATTTGAAATCCTGTTTTATAAGCACTTTGAAATGGTTCATACAAACAGTTATCATCTAGATGGGCCTTTATCTGAGAAGCAATAAATTCTCCAATATTTTAGAAATAAAACATAAGTTAGAGACAGGTCTGTAATTTTTAAAAACATTAGAATCCAGTGTAAACTTTTTAATTAAAGGGGTAACATAAGCTTGTTTGACGTTGGAAATAGTAGTGGATGATATACAAGAATTAATAATATTGGTAAAAACTGGAATAACTTCGTCTAGACAGTCCTTAAGAGCAGGAGTCCGAACAGGGTCTAATGAACAAGATTTAGGAGCAGACGGCTCAATTAGCTTTAAAACAAAAGATTCACTAACCATGTTAAAATTTTCTAAATAAACAGAATTTTCTAACTTATCAAAATCATGAGCGTTAAAGTCAATAGTTTTATTTAAATCATCAAGTTCAGTTCGTATTTTCTTTATTTTTATTTGAAAGAAATCAGAGAATAAATTCGTGAGTTCAGTGTCATTGTCATTGTCAGGGAGAATAGTCCGGTCAGCATTATGATCCAAAAGGGAATTCACAACTTTATACAGGTCCTTTTGTTAGTTTTCACCATTTTATATTCTATTAGAGTAAAATTTAATTTTAGCGTCTTGTTTTTTAAACATTTATAAATCTGTTTATGGACATGTAGATTTGTTTTCCGCCACAGATGTTCAGCCTTATTACGGTCCCTTTTGGCTTCTAAAATTGAATCATTAAACCACATATTGGGACGAATAGTAAATGTTTCCGTTTTATAAAATGAAGAATAGAGATATTACATTAAATGATCTAAATCACTGATATTTGGGATCTAGAAACTGACACAAATGGATCACAATACTAGACTGGATAACCTGCTCTAATACGTCATGGCAGACTCGCTCCTACGTCACTATATTGAAGTCAGCATAGAAATATATAAATTTATATTTCTATGGAAGTCAGAATAGCGCAGTGACGTAGGAACCAGCCTGACGTCATTTAGAGCAGGTTGCCCAGTCAATACTAATACGTCCAACTTGCTCCAACGTCCCTGTGACAAACATATTATCGAAAAGGGGGTGGGGTCTGCCCCTGGGTTCGAAATTTTTGAAAGATACATAGTATCTAATATTATGTAGCGTCATTGTGGCGTATATCTGGGGTAACTTTGCTAGAAATGGTGGTATGGCCGAAAGGATAACAAGCTCAATTGGCAAAAATATTGAAAAACATCGAGATATTTATAGCGCCTAACAAAACGAAGACGAAAGTAAAGTTTCAGTTTCGTTTTTAATGATCGGATACCAGTCAGCCTACCTAGAGCGATGCCGAGACGCCCCCCCCCCCCCCCCCCGCTCAGCTATGTGATATCACAATTATTTTTTTCCATCAATGAAATTGAATCACAATGTGATTCTATTAATTCATAATAAAAATTGACACCAAACCGGGTGTTGGATTTCTCTCTTTAAAAAGCTCAGTGTGTATGTATGTATACGTAATTTGGAGACGGTGATAGCATCGTGCATTGTCAATTTAAGTGTCAAATTTCCTTAACAGGAACCTGGCCAACCCCCTCCTGCAAAAATGCCTGGATCCACCCCTGCGATGGATAACCGCGTGCACGACAATGATTGAAGCGTTCTACAGGCCTGGACTCAATCTGTTCCAAAGAGATCTTCTAATATCTCTGATAACAGATGATAGTTTCGACACGTGACGTCACATCACGCGGCGTCAATCATTGGCTCAATATCTCGTGCATTGTTTACATAAGAAGTTACTGATTTGGGCTAAATGGTGAATTTTACTTATTTTAATACCCATTTACACTAAATAGGAAATGATTTTTACATACAAATAATTCAAACGTCTTTATTTATTTTTCTAATAAATGAAAAATAAAATATTTTAGAATTTAATTTGACGGAAGAAAAAAGTTAATATTTGGGACTCATAAGACGCATCGATGTCATCCTTATCAGTGATTGTAGCGGCCTAGCGAAAATTCACTGCTGATCAGTGTGGCCCGGACTAGGCCCCGATTACCTGCCGAGATACCCTGACGGTGACGAGACCCTCAAACGGAACGAGGACGATCTGGGGGCCCACGGCGCAAAGGCCCGGGCAGGTTGCGTATATTTTTTAATTCACCAATTTTTACAAAAAAAGTGGACTGACAGAATCCAATTCTTATCCCACGCCACTAATGCACATTCAGAAAATGTTTGTTTTTTTTCTACTTTACGATCAAGTAACAGTATATTTATTTTTATTAATTTATACGCCCTCTAAAACTGAGAGATAATTGAGAGATAAGTGCAAAAGGTATCCTACATGTAATCTGTATCATCTTTTTACCTGCTTGCACTATCTACTCCATTAATTTAAAAATTATGAATTCCTGTGAATGCTAAAGGCGGGGGTCTCGGAATATTTTACCTGTTGAAGTAAATTGGAGCCCTGTATAATTTCAGACTTTTCGGGTCGGAGATTTCAAACGTGTCGAAATTTTGAAACTTTTAAAAGCTCGTTGGACAGGATCTTCGATGCCATCTTTCAAAACTTTGTAGGGTTATATATAGGTTGTTTTTCATTTAACTTAAATCTCTCTGTTTACGTTAGGGCTTTTACAGCTTTCTAACTGTATGTTATTGAAGGAATTTTAAAACGTGGTCTACAATTTGAGTACCAATGTGTTCTGCATTCTGTTAGTTGAAGTAAATAAAGCTGTTATACTGGATTCGATTCCTCAAGAAATTACCCATGAAATATAGTAAGATTAAAATATCTTAATTACCACAATGCACACATCTTGTCAAAACATGGCTCAGAATGGAGTAATTTGAATGAAATGTTCAATATTTTCATTTTACATTATCTATTTTTGAGCTATTATAGCAAGAATGGTCAGCTCTAATGTATCTTTAACTATGCAGAAGATGACTGGCTTTTTAATTCAGTACATAATAGGTCTACGTTGGCAGTGAAATCGGTTTCTACACTATAAATAGATTTACAGTATTACCATCAGTGGGTGTCGGCCGGTTTCTTTCAACAAAAAATTGTTGGTTTTTTCAAATCTTCTAAAAAAATACAAATAGATTCGACGATCTTTATTATTATTACCGTCAATGGCCCAATATATGACTACCGGTACATCAGTTATTCAGTATTTCTACCCACATTGCAAAAATTTAATCAAAAATGTCCCTTGTATAAATGCCGATTTGCATACATATTTGAACCGAAATTTACAAGGGGTATTTTTACCACTGTCCTTTATTTTTTTTTTAAGTGTAGGAGATGGGGAGAAAAATTCATGTTAAAAAAACTAGTGTTTTCAGATTTAAGTCCCTTGATTTGCATGACAAAGGGCTTATAATATACTCTTCAATTAAAAGTAGGGGATATTGAAATGCAAATACCTATGCAGGTTGTGATATGATAAATAGTCATGGACAGTTGACATGCTTTGAGAGTATGTTCACAGATGAAGAACTTATCGCCCCAACAGAACCACTGAGCTGCATGTGCGACACGCAATAGCGCCATACACGTGGGAGGGGTTCATTGTCAAATTGCATTTATTTGTTAAAGGACAATATTGGCGCCAGTCATTATCACATATGTGATAGAGCTGGTTAAACACATTCCAAATATAATTTTAACACAGAGATCATTGCTACGATAGCTGAGTAATACAAG